TGTGTATTACTATCAATATTAGTTAACATCTATTTTAGAACTGTATTAAAGGCACTGTGTGTATTACTACCAATAATTAGTTAACATCTATTTTAGAACTGGATTAAAGGCACTGTGTGTATTACTACTAATAATTAGTTAACATGTATTTTAGAACTGGATTAAAGGCACTGTGTGTATTACTACCAATAATTAGTTAACATCTATTTTAGAACTGGATTAAAGGCGCTGTGTGTATTATTACCAATAATTAGTTAACATCTATTTTAGAACTGGATTAAAGGCACTGTGTGTATTATTACCAATAATTAGTTAACATGTATTTTAGAACTGAATTAAAGGCACTGTGTGTATATAACATCTATTTTAGAACTGGATTAAAGGCACTGTGTGTATTATTACCAATAATTAGTTAACATCTATTTTAGAACTGTATTAAAGGCACTGTGTGTATTACTACTAATAATTAGTTGACATCTATTTTAGAACTGGATTAAAGGCACTGTGTGTATTACTACCAATAATTAGTTAACATCTATTTTAGAACTGGATTAAAGGAACTGTGTGTATTACTACCAATAATTAGTTAACATCTATTTTAGAACTGTATTAAAGGCACTGTGTGTATTACTACCAATAATTAGTTGACATCTATTTTAGAACTGGATTAAAGGAACTGTGTGTATTACTACCAATAATTAGTTAACATCTATTTTAGAACTGTATTAAAGGCACTGTGTGTATTACTACTAATAATTAGTTAACATCTATTTTAGAACTGGATTAAAGGCAATGTGTGTATTACTACTAATAATTAGTCAACATCTATTTTAGAACTGGATTAAAGGCAATGTGTGTATTACTACTAATAATTAGTTAACATCTATTTTAGAACTGGATTTAAGGCACTGTGTGTTTTACTACTAATAATTAGTTAACATCTATTTTAGAACTGGATTAAAGGCACTGTGTGTATTACTATCAATAATTAGTTAACATCTATTTTAGAACTGTATTAAAGGCACTGTGTGTATTACTATCAATAATTAGTTAACATCTATTTTAGAACTGTATTAAAGGCACTGTGTGTATTACTATCAATAATTAGTTAACATCTATTTTAGAACTGTATTAAAGGCACTGTGTGTATTACTATCAATAATTAGTTAACATCTATTTTAGAACTGTATTAAAGGCACTGTGTGTATTATTACCAATAATTAGTTAACATCTATTTTAGAACTGGATTAAAGGCACTGTGTGTATTACTATCAATAATTAGTTAACATGTATTTTAGAACTGGATTAAAGGCACTGTGTGTATTACTACTAATAATTAGTTAACATGTATTTTTAGAAGAACTGGATTAAAGGCACTGTGTGTATTACTATCAATAATTAGTTAACATCTATTTTAGAACTGCATTAAAGGCACTGTGTGTATTACTACTAATAATTAGTTAACATGTATTTTAGAACTGGATTAAAGGCACTGTGTGTATTACTATCAATAATTAGTTAACATCTATTTTAGAACTGTATTAAAGGCACTGTGTGTATTACTACCAATAATTAGTTAACATCTATTTTAGAACTGGATTAAAGGCACTGTGTGTATTACTACTAATAATTAGTTAACATGTATTTTAGAACTGGATTAAAGGCACTGTGTGTATTACTACCAATAATTAGTTAACATCTATTTTAGAACTGGATTAAAGGCGCTGTGTGTATTATTACCAATAATTAGTTAACATCTATTTTAGAACTGGATTAAAGGCACTGTGTGTATTATTACCAATAATTAGTTAACATGTATTTTAGAACTGAATTAAAGGCACTGTGTGTATATAACATCTATTTTAGAACTGGATTAAAGGCACTGTGTGTATTATTACCAATAATTAGTTAACATCTATTTTAGAACTGGATTAAAGGCACTGTGTGTATTATTACCAATAATTAGTTGACATCTATTTTAGAACTGGATTAAAGGCACTGTGTGTATTATTACTAATAATTAGTTAACATCTATTTTAGAACTGTATTAAAGGCACCGTGTGTATTACTACTAATAATTAGTTAACATCTATTGTAGAACTGGATTAAAGGCACTGTGTGTATTACTACCAATAATTGGGTTGACCTGGATATTTGGTGTATTTTCTGTCAATGGTTATACTGTTATCTTTCAGTATTTATTTGCCATCTTTAATTCCCTACAGGTAAAGTACTAATTAAGTATTTGAAAATGTTTATTTTGAATACAAATGTCGTTTCCGTTTTGAAGAAAAATATACTCCAGGTATTGACCACGAAAAAAAAAATTATGATTTGATTTTTTGTCTTTATTTCAGGGATTATTTATTTTTATATTCCATTGTTTGTTCAACAGACAGGTAAACAATTTATATAGAATTTACATCAAAATGCGTTCATTTATTCATTCAAATTTCATAAAAGTGTAGACTGGAACGTTTCTTTCGTCTAAATAGCATTGTTTCACCGTGAGGCTATAACCAACCAGACTGTGAATTTGCCATTTAGATGATCAGTTTATATATGGCGGATATTTTCCTTCGATAGGGATAATAAAATGCTTATTTTAGTGTGCTAACAATGTGAATGTATATTTTTGAAACCTGAAAAGTGTGATTTTTTGAGATATTAAAACAAATTGGATGAAATCCACCAAATAAAAACAAACGTGGTAAAATTTAGTTATCACGTTTTGTCTCCATACTGTAATAGGCCTAATTTAACAAGTTACCACGCCCCGTGGTATATAGCTGTAAGGGTACTTATGACTATTTACCACACTTACCACGCCAGTGGTAAATAGCCACTGCCGTTTAAGTTTGTCCCTTAGTTTCGAACGCGACATTGAACGCGAGTATAGTAATCATAGTAATAATTTGTTCCATCATTAATAAATTGCACATGACCTGTTCGCAATTAAACTAGACGTACAACTCATTTCATTTCTTAGGTCAAAGATGCACTGAAGATCAAAAAAAGAAGATATAGAGCTAAATCTATTGATACTGGTACAGGAACGAAGTCATTCACACAAGTTCCTATGCAGTTGGTAAGCATATTTAACACAACGAAATATACAGATATACTAATTAGGCGACGCAGATTATAAATGCAGCGATTTGGTTGGCTGGTACGTTTACGAATACAGCCACTCAGAGTCCTCCATAATGTCGCGAGCTATGATTGTCTGTATTCGCTGGCGTACGATCCAATATAATTTCTGCATTCCAAGATACAAGAAAGGTGGCTAATGTAGTCAAGGTATACTACTAATAGATTGACATTGTGAAGATGTATTGCCTCAATACAGACAACATATATATATCCAATTATTTTATTCATCATTTTTTATTTTCAATTTCGTTTGTTTTTTAGAATCAACCAAGAACCACATTAGACAATGATAAAGCCACTAATGATCTAGATAAAAAGAGTAAGTATATAGAGTATAGTAACTTTAGATCAGTTAAGTCTTTGATGAACTGAGTTAGGAACGAATGGCATAATATCATTTATCTCAAAGTTTTACTGCATCTTAGAATGAACATAAACTTTAAATTCTCAAACTTGGGCAATAACAGTATATCATATTTATCAGTGGACTGCCTAATGCCGTACTTATACGGAATCCCTGCATTATCCTATAAATCAAAGGTACGTATTTATTCAAAAACGCTAAAAAAATTTAAGAAAAATATTAGATTTAATCCAATGAAACATGAGATATTATCCAAAAGTTACTTTAAACTATCAATATACGAAAAGACTAACGATTTACAGAAGATCTGGGATATTTTTCTACCACCTGATAGTTGGTTAAACCTCTAGACCGCCGGTAATCAACTCCCATTTACTTCTTCTTGTTTCAGCATCCCCATTCCTGGAGGCAGATCGCCAGGTTCAAGAACTGGCCCAGAAGCTAGCTAAAGTTGACAACAACAACATTAAAACAAATGCCAATAAAGATAACATTCCCGTCAAATCTAATTTTTCAATATTTGATAACGTAAAAATAGAAAATCCGGGGCCCGAACCACCTAAACCATCTGATGAAGATTTGTACGTGCCAGTTTCACGCATATCACAAAGGAAAGCAAGTCAAAAATCTGGTGCTCAAACCGTTGAGGACATAACACAGAAACCATCTAATCAGGACTCATATCACATTGACCATTCCTCCAAGAAATCTGATCCAAATGACAAACCATTCTTCGCGAATTCAGAGAAAACTGGTTCTGACGTTCTAGATTATCCCAGACCTGATAGAAATAAATTACGTATCGATGACTATGATCACCTTAGACCTGAAATGAAGGAAAATTCGGTTTTAAGAGATTATACCAAATTACAGAACAGACCAACTCAATCATCCACTACACCTAACTATGGAGTGTTTGCTGAACCTATTCAGAGGAAGATGCCTAGTATAGAAGATAACTCCAAACAGACGGGCTATTACCCGGATCCTTCAGTTTATCCGGTAGGTTTGGGTTTTGTACTGACTCATTGCTGTATAAAGAAAGTTGTGTACAACACAATTTAAGAAGCTTCCCATTTTTACGGCTTAGGGCAACGTTCCTTTTCTCAAATGCATGGAAAAATGTTGTAGTGATGCATGCCTGAAGTTATTTGCGGTATCTATCCCCTGTCATGTTTTCAGCAAGATTTCAGAAACTCGTCGTTTTGATGGTTTATTCAAATTAAATTGAATTAAATCGGTGCATTGAATGCAATTGTTCCACATGTCTTATTATATCATACTGCTGATGACATATGCATTGAAGTATCTACTATTCTAGGCACCTACATCTAGGAAAGGTTTAAGTCCAACTCGTCGTACTGAACCGGTCAAGCCAGCAGTTGCTCCAAAAACAAAACCAAAGGTAAGATATAAAAGGTCACTCTCTTGTCAAGCTTTGATCTCTGACTTAAATTTGGTATATACAATTTTTTAAGGGAGGTTCATATGATACTTCGTAGATTCGGTACTATAGAGTAGCTCAGAATTCTCCCCCACCCTCTCAATTTATTAATTGTTTTCTTTTTTCGAGTTTCGTTCTACTCACACCATGTTTATTATTCCACAGCCAAAACGTATTGCTGACGATGAAGAAGATAAGGTAGATCCTGAGATGGCTTATGAAGCTCTTGATGCTCATTATATGGGCAGCTCCATACCAACCAAGGTTAGCTTTCCTGTATTGAACATCCCGTTATTTATTTATTAAGTAGTGATTAATAATTTTTCAGTAGGTTTAAATGGCCTTTTGTGTATGTTTTAGGGCACAATATTCAGCTCCAGGTTTAGTACGCGTTTGTAGTTTCCCTCAGTTGAAACTGCTACTTCCCACAGGTGTACATTTTCCCGCCGATTTTGACATTCCGTGTAGTAATCAATATCCTTTTACTCTAAACAAAAAAATAAAGTTGAATTTTGTATATTTATAAGTTATCACATAGATTCATTTATTTCAACTGTATTTGTTGACGGGGGCAATAAACGTTATTAAAAGTATTAGAATGAGTAGTATATAGATATATTTTAATTTCAGGACCCATATCCATCAAAGAGTAGTAGAAAACCAAAAGCATCATCATCAAATCCTAACTTAAATAAACCATTATATGATGTAAGTGTATCAAACATCTGTTTGTTTCCTATCTAAACAGACATTTTTTTCAGGCATTCCAATTTCATATTTGCCTTTCTCAATAGTTACTCTTTTCAAAATATTTTTTATAGTCATGGACATAAATTTCAATGATTTTCTATGATACATTTTTTGTAGAATCATGCCCCGAAAGATAAGTGGGCCAAGATGAAAGAATCCAAAAGAAGAGGACCTCACCCTTCAGAAATACCAAACCAGAACAGACGTATTCACAGTCACGAAAATTTATACAGATCACACGGTCCACCTTATCAACCCACAGAGGTACACATACTTCATGATGCACGAGGTCATCCTGTATCTCGCCGAGCACCTGCTTATCACAAAGGATGGCCAGATGGTCGTGGAGGCTTCAATTATTAAACTCTGTTGACGATTC